AATTTGTGATTAAACATCTCATGCAATCATGCAAGACCACTAGCTATAACTAACTGTTACTTCCAAGTCTATACTGGGCAAAACAGAAACAAATTAAAAGCCAGGCCAAACAGAAAAGACATTCAAGGTATCAAGAGCTCTGTAATAGAGCTGAAAAATAATTTTCCAAAAGAAATATTCCCACAGATTAAAAACACATACACATAATATTTACAAAAAAATTTTAATGAAAAATATCTTATAATTACAGTAGTCTATTAAAGCATATGCTTTCTCACACTTATAGAACATCTCTATATATACATGGTATGAAATGTCACTCAGTTATCTATACAATATGTAACATTCTTGCAGAGAAAAGTTCTCTGCCCCGTTATAATCATCTATTTTAAACAATGGATGTAAAAAAAAAAATCTACAATGCTCTGGTATATTAGTAAAGCTTCAAAACAGAAAATTGAGCTCCTTGGTCAGCAAGTAGGCTTCTAAAGTTGGATCTACTCTTGATCTTCTATTTATCAGTTCTGTCACACTTAAGCTTAAAAGTTTAACTGCACCTCCAAAAAACACAGAAATGTACAATTCACAGCAGTTATAAATGAAGAGACAAAAGAGAATACATATGTAAGAACGTTTATGAACGTGCAAAGAAAGGATGAAAGTTGTATTTTTCTTTCCTCTCCCTCTCTCTTGGAATGACGAATGAAAGCGTTTCTAGGTTTGCTGATGTTTTTTCCTTTCCTCCTGTGGCGTTTTCTCTAACTTCTCCTCTTCCCCCTCCCTCTCTAGTGCTCCTGGCTCGGGCTCAGGCGGCCGCACACCGGGTGGGTGTTGAGCGCCGTGAGCCGGGTCCGCGCGGCTGGACAGGTCCCGGCCGGGTGTGCGGCGGCGCGGGCGGCGGGGGCTGCCTCAGCAGAGCCGGGTGCGCCTCCAGCGCCAGCTGCAGGTCCAGGATGTAGTCGATAACGTGCTGCAGGATCTCCACTTTGCTGACTTTCCTGTTGGGCGGGATGGTGGGCACCAGCCTCCGCAGGCGGCTGTAGCAGTCGTTCATATCGCACTGCGGGCACAGCGCCGGCTCGTCGGCCGCCGTCTCAGCTGCCTTGCAGTGCACTGCCGCCGCCGCGGCCGCCACCCCACCCAGCTGTGGCCGTGCTCCGCCAGGCAGCGCAGCGCCAGCTCCCTGCCGCCGCCGCCCCACCCAGGCTGTGGTCGTGCTCCGCCAGCGCAACCCGACGGCGCCTTGCAGCCCGAGGGGCGCACCGGGCTCACCGCCTTCATCGCGCACGCCCTGCGCCCTGCGCGAGCGGATCCGCCAGGGCGAGCGACGGAGGCGGGCGGGCAAGCTCCGGGCCCCGTCCGCGGCCGGCTCCGCTCCTTCTGCCTTCGCGCCCGGCGCGCTCGGGGCACCACGACGCTCCCGAGCCCAACAATTGACCGGAGGGGCGCTCCGGGTTTTGCGAGGGCCTCTCTGCTCGGCGGGCGACGCTCA